GCATGTAATCGTTTAAAATGCAAAATACGACTCTCCCAAGTAATGCGTCAGCGGAGTGTCTTTTCATTTCTAGTGACCTGATATTGACTGAATACTAACATGAATAAGACATCGATGGTAAATTCTCTCCAAAAAGAAATATACCATATCACCTGGCTACCTGTATAAAGCCATGAACCTCTTGTAATCAAAGCTCAAATACGACCGATGTTGCTTCAAAGCGGTTGCCCGAACGACGAGTGTCCGAGTCTTCAACTGTGTCTCTAGTCTGCCAAAATCTCGGAGATGGCAACAATTATGACGTGCCTCCGGAGGATCGTCTCGACTGCAACACGACCAAGGTTGCTTCAGAGTAATTGTGCCGAACCTACAGGAGGTGAACATCACAGAGTGGCTGAAAATAATGGTAAAACTATCCAAGCCCAATGTGGGATTATGAAGCACAGCCTAGCCGCTGACAGGTAACTCCCCCAGGGGCTACAACTACAAACACATGATGAATATCTTCTAAGGAGAACGGGCTACCTCACACAATGGTCTGACTTTTGCTGCGTCAGCGCAATATTCCTTCCAGGCTGCTTTACTCCGAAGTCAGACTTCAAAGGTTCCCTACCCCGGAGTCACCTCACTACGACTGTGTACCTCTCACAGCCCCAAGGGGATTTCATGTTCTGGTCCTCAATAATATTTCTCTGCACCTTTTTCTCATTACGTATCACTAGGGCTGGTAAGCTCTGAGCACTAAGGTAGCGACTCGGACATGACCTCAGGTCCGAAAACGGTCCTCTAACTTTTCCCTCAAAGGTAAATGAACTTAGCAAGCAAAAGCTTTCCTCTTATCGCCAACGCCTGCTCAAGTACAGGCACGTTATACGCAGAGAAATGACACAAATTACTCAGTGGTGCTTAAAAAGAAACCAGACAATCGTACTCCAATAATGGAAGAGTGGCTTGACTAAAGTTGAAAACCATATTTCACACTAAACCCAATGATGACTGAAACTCCTCTGCCGGCAATCAGCCTACCGAGAGAACTACTAGGGTGTCTCAAAAGTTCTTGTGCATATATGTACGTTTTATTTGATGACATGTTTCGGAATGGAATTTAATTTAGTTGTATATTTGTTTTGTCCTATCTTGAAGCGCGTGTCAAGGCGCGGATTAATATCTTAAGTTGTTGTACATTTCGTCTCATTTAGGATAATTGTAGCATCCAGAATGGCTGAAGAGAAACTTGCACTTCGGGTACTGTTGCGTCACTACTGGAAAAAAGGCTTGAGTGCGAAGGCGGCTGCCGAACTCCATACTTTCTAACAAGCCCAGGCCCAAGCCTAGGGCTCCTCTGGGCTAAACCCCCTAGGCTGACCATATCCAGGTGTAACAGGCAGCCTTGGCTCTCGACCAAGTGCAACATATATTCAGCCTTCCGTTGCTGGGCCTGTCAGAAGTTCGCTGGACACAGCCGACAGTATGCAGTTCAATGATCGCTGTGCCTCGTTGACAAATTGGTCAAGTAGAGTGATCTAATAGACACGCAGGAATCGTAAGCATTGTCATGAAGTCGCCTACTTCCTGCATCTTGATGTCGTTCAGGGAAGCCTTAATAGCTGAAGCAGCTTCATGTGCAACCTTTAAAATCTCTGGAAAAATTGCACAACGATCAGCCCCTGAGCATGCGAAAACCAGAAAATATGATAATCCGTCTTTTCACAAGCAGTGAAAAAGTACATTAGGGAACAAGTACAATGGGATGCATAGGAAGCCCTTTGACTTCAAAAGGCGAACTATCCATAAAATGAGGTCCATTTTAGGATGTTCGCAGAATACACTGAAAGCAAGCGACAATTTTTTGCAAAAATACTTAAGTTCATCACTTTAAACCGGAGTCAAAGGTGGCAGTTAATAACTTCAGACCTTGTTTCTAGTCTGAGGTAGGTCTGCACATTACCCAGTTTCATTTCGTTTTTGTGTCGGGCGGATGTCGGAGCCAGCGTCGGCTGTCTGTTATTGGTGGCGATGAAAACATTGCACACAAAGGAGTAGCGACTTTCTCATGTATTAATACAACAGCAACAATATCAATAAAATGGAAAACCTGAGCTACAATTTTGGTGTCACACTTTACACAACTGCAAATGAAGGCACACCGACGAGTAGACGCTGTCTCTGCCCCTTAGGCCATTTCCAATTTGCTGCTCGGCAAGGTCGAATATTCTTAAGAGGAATTAAACCTACAAGAAAAATTTTTGGTACAAATGTGCTCGTGAATGTATCAAAAACTCGATGGATTGATTTCTGGATAGTCTCGTATAACATATCGTTCACACTCACAACCAAGGATGGATTAGATACCATATCCGTCAATTACAGGCACAAACACGTGCCTCTCAGGCTCTCACTCGAAGCACCCAAATTGGTTCTTTTGCCGAATTTTCCTACGGCTCAAAGTTATAACACATTCAGTCCCTAGGTTTTGATTGCGGATTCTTCTATTGGATATAACCCATAGGGCAAATGTGTAAATCATGCAGTTCTGTTCCGAAAGTTTCACGGATGAAAAGAAGTTCGTCCGTGTGCCTGCCTGGCAGAAGCAGTTGTACGACCAAGCCAGGAGCATTAAACGGGAAAAACCTGTTTATTGGGTGGTATAGAAGGAATGTCAGCCTTCCCTCAGACGAATTAAAGTTGTCATTTCCTTCCGTTCTTCATCCTCAAAGGAAACTCTCCCGATTTCCAAGATTCATTCTTCTCTTGATTCTCATGTACGTTGACCGTGTCAAGACACGTCTCAATTCAGAAATGTCGGATTCGGTACAGAAATTGATTCGTATTAAGCTCATGTTGTCGGGAGGAACCGTAATTCCCTCGAAAGCAGGTGTACTACTTCAATTTATCCTCAAGTACATCATTGCTTATTTCATGTTAAAGCATGAACATATACTAACTTCTGCGCTAAAAAAAAATAACTACTGCTGCTGACGCCGTGCAATAATCGAATTTGCTACGCATCACCTAATCCTAGTTGTAATCAATTACAATGCCAATCATGATCATCTAGCGGAGATGAAATTCTCTGAAAGCCAAGTCGTTTGGTCACACTCTTCAAATTGTATATGCAATTATATTCAGGGAAACCATATAAACTGCAGCGCTTCTTCCATACGAGGTGGTTTTTCTCTCCACTTAGTGGATGGATTTTGTGCAGCACTGCCGGTTTATTTTCACAGATGGTAAAGTATGCGAAAATTACAGCCCAACAAGCATGCCATCCATGCCTGGTGGGTGAAGGCCGTTTTGAAGAGGCTGGCCAGACAATTCGGTTTACAGCAACTTTATCTAGTTCTTGGCTTTCTTTCCTTACACTTTCTTGCGTAATAAGTCCCAATTTTCGCATGCAACTTTATTGCCAAGATTATCGTGAATTTTTTCTTCACAGTAACATTAGACAATCGGAGTCGAAATCAAAGTTGATTCGAAGAAAAGATCATAATTGCAACCTGTTGCAATGCCAACATAATCGACACGTTTGGTGAACTTATCCCCTTTTAAAGGGGTATGGAGCCAACCTAGTTTCCAAAGTAATTGAAGCTGGGTCCTGTTTCTTGTTCTCATACATTTCCCCGCAAAAGCTTTTTGTTCGACAGGAAAGCTCCCCCTTACTCGAGCGAAATAGCTCATCCTGCCAGCCTACACAATCACCCCCTAAAGCAATCCTATGTGATGTTTAAAGATTACGACTTTAATCTTCATCGGATAACGATAAAGAACAATTAAAGCTCCAAAACTAATTTTAATCTCTCTATGCACCCCTCTTAAAATATGTAATTCAAGGAGGCTTGGGAGACATGAGTCAGATCTGACAGTGGAACATATTGTAACGGCCCAGCCGGTATGCGAGGGAAGAGCTCTCTATGAGTCGCCCAGGGAGACCACAGTGTAAGCCTGACCTCTGACCCTTTACCCCAATCGAGAGACTGTTCTTAGTAACCCTGTATATGTCTTTTGTTCTTCACTTCTCTTTTCATTTCCGTCTGGCACTCACAGACTAGAGATAGAGTTATACTTACATTGAGGAGAGCAGAGAGCTGATTACAGCTTTTGTATCTTGTATTCTTTCCGCTTATCGTCCACGGGCGGTAAGCAGCTGCACCCTTTACCCTGCGGGTTTAGACATTCCTGCCGTCCTGAACCTTCTTGCCCCTCGGGAGTAGACGTTCCCGATCCCTTTATCCCTTTCGTAATCTTCCAGGATCTTCCATTGATTGATTGGCCGAGGACTGTCATTTGTCGATAAACCCTGCTTTGTATCAGCCCTGACCTATTGTGTTGTGATTCCCACCACCAGTAGAGGAGAACGCACGGAACCGTAACAATATTTTGAACATTCCCTAGTTGGATGTATAAGCAAGTGGGCATGCCTTGGCATTTGAATGAGTGGATGCAGTAGTTATTGTCTTCCGTACATTCACTTTAAGTGGAGAGGATTAAAAATGGCCATCTATCTCACACTAATCAATATTTAAATTAAAAAAGTTCTTCTCCCTTGCAGAAAGAGAACTCGAATAAACAGCTCATATTTTTCAGTTTGCATGCGTCGACAGTCAGCTTTCAATCCTTCAGGAAATTCCTGCACCGTTTACAGGAAGGTGTTAGGTATGGTTGGAAACGTAATCGGCTTGTAATTGATTGCAACTAGTCATTAGTATGGGAAACAAGACTTCAATGCCACTTCTATTTGATTCCTTCGGCAACTACAATCGACGTATGTTCCCAACGAAATAAAACGTCTATGACAAAAAGATAAAACAATTGAATTGGAAAAGCAACGTAATTTTACTTCCATCTTGGATAAATTTAACCTGTAAAGAATTAGGAGACATAAACCAAGTCTGTGAATAGGGAAGACGCGCCTTGGAGCAATCTTTTGGTTTTGGGTTTATTTCATTTCCCAATGTCGCGCACAGATTGGCACGCTCGAAGGGATCACCTTTGATGTTGCTTCATTGCACTGTAGTAAATAAAATATTCCAATTTTTTTCCTTCAATACTCAAACATGACCGTTACCTGAAAGTTTTCGTCAAATTACAATGAAAGCAATAACTTATGCTGTATTGATTATCCTCACTACTTAGCTTATAATACAATTCCATCCTAATCGACTCATGCCTCTGAATAACTATCACGAATGCAAAGCATTGACATATGTTTCGCCAGTTGAGAAAGAACCTGCCGCTAAACCGCAAAGTATAGGGCATGACAATGTACTGTGGAATACTCCACCTTCGTTGGTCTTTTCGAAACAACTATTTAACGTAATAATTTTCCATTGAAAAGATACATTATGACATTGCAAAAGTAAGGACATTGCCTTATAAATTCCGTTATGACTAGCAGTTAGCAATGCAACAAATTGAGCGCATCGCATTTTTGGCCAGATATGCACAAGCCCATAACGGTCTTTTGAGAGCCTGGAGGTCGCGACCAAAGAGGCGGCAAAAAGTGATCATGACTCAAATTTGATGTAACAGGCTTTTCAATCGGGACTCCCGCTGTCTGTACTCCAGCATGGTGGGTGTGCGCCTCGCCCCAGTTGAACGGCACCATTGGGAAATCCTCAATATTCCATTTCAAAACTGTGGCAAAAAAATTTTCTCTTGGAAACTTGTAGCATATTCGTCTTACATACTTTTCGAGTTGTCAACATTTGGAGTCGCCATCAAAGTTGATTTTTAATAATAAAAAACTTAGCCTTTCTGGGTAAAGACAATGGTACTTTCGTTTCAAGTTATTTTTCCCGCAAACAAAAAAATTCATGGCGTCGGAACCGATACGTGTGGTTAAATAATTATAAACAATTACAATGCCATCTCTTCGGAAGAGAACGACGCGAAATTCTGAGGTCTTGCAACTTTTTTCGTACACTATTCCTTTTATACTATAAAATTGATATTTATTCCCTGCCACTATTTTCCAAAATGGCAAATAGCCATACTGAAAATTGCCAGAACTATGAAAATACCTGAAATTCGGATGCAGTAAAATTTGTTTCCCTTTCATCTTGGAACAAGCGCAACGCATAAGTTTAACTGTTCAATGGGAGATAAGTCTCTAAAGTTTGAGGCCTTGGTCAGAATGTACTAAATTGGTATTTCAATTAAATGGGAAAAATGATTCCATGTGTTTTGTTGGAAAGCCTTCACTGCTCAATTTCCAGTCAAGTACTATTTCTTCACTTATACAGGTTTGGAAAATGAGTATGATAAGCAGTTCTCTACATAGGTTTTGTTTTGTTGAACATGTGACAGATTGAATGTCTATTACTTAGTGGTTTCTTGTTTACAGGTGTTGGATGATGAATTTGTGTTGCAATGTGCTTTTACTTTAAAACCAGCAGAAGAATAGAACTCATTCCATTGCTGGAGACAATAGAATGAGTTTATTATTTATAGTTTATATCATTGCTTCTGCGAGCAATAAATAACTTATTGCAAAAGTTAAGCAGGCAAGGCACACGTTTGCTTAATCAGGTCAGCATGGTTTCATCCCATCTTAGTTATTTAGGATTCACTGCGAACATGTTGTTGCAAACAAAGTTATACAGATTAGAGGTACTACCTCTAATTTCAGCTGCAATTGTTTTCTATGCTTCTGTCAGAAAGCAGTCCTTTTATCACCCCTGTGATGACTTCATCTTCCAAGTAGAAGATACAAATAAAATAAATATGCACTGGAAAGGGGATGTAAAGTGAGTTGGGAGAACAAAAGAAAATATAGGATCAATCCAAGATATACAACACAGAAGAGTAAGTTACAATGCCTAAAGGAAAGAAGTCAATCTAAGGGCCAGGAAGCCACAAGCCTTTCTTTGCTTCACATCAGTCAAAATATGCTGCTCTGCGAGACTAACATCAGATTAAGTACAAATATATATGTATTTAGCTAAACTTTAGCTAAAAAATTAGGAGTCAAAGAAGTTTCAGAGGATCAGAGATAACCTACACACCGAGGATTTATCCCAAGATCACTTGCATGGTCAGGAACATTCCACTTCTGGCAAATCTCAGCAGCAGCTAACTTCACTTCATGAACTCACATGAACTTCACTCCCAATGTTTTGAAAAGTTAAGCCCTACCACACAAAGCATGACCATATTTACCTATTATCCATATAATACACCACCTTTCCAATTGTCAAAAGCAGCTTGCGTTTCCAATTCACTTGCTGCACGAGCACTAGTACTAACAGCCCTTCACAGGGATTCGGCCCAAGACCACTTGGAAGGTATGGAGCCTTCACCTGTTCCTGGTTGACAAGGGCATGACTTACTTTCATGTGCCCCCCTTCCCATTTCCAAAACATTTCCTTGCACAAACAACTGGTAGCTCATGGGATAGAGATATGGATGAGGCCTCCACAGGGATACAATCCAAGACTGCTTGAAAGGTCCAGATCCTTACCCTGTCTCAGAGTATCATCCACTTCACCATCCTCACCTAGCAGTCTAATCTAAAATTCCACACCCTTATATCATAGCCATGAAAATCTGCACTACTAAGATCTCTTGGTCCTGATGCTTCGGAATGAATTTGTTTTGTCCACAATGCAAACAGACATTGTGTACCTGTCAGTTTACCTCCCAAAAAAATTTTCATGAAGAAACCCCCATGAACACAAATTCTTTTGCAGCCAGCATTATATAGGCCTTCACAATGCATGATGCAATTCATGCAACAACTGACTTCAGAGCAAACCAACAAAAGACCAGTTAAAGAAACAGAACCACAAGAGGTGACACATTGAATAGCCAACACACAAAAGTTTACCTAAACTGACCTTCCAGACTTTCAGAAATACCAGGCTTGAAGGTTTTTACATGAATAGCAAAATTCTGTAAACAATATTCTGGCACATTTCCCGAGAGTTCTTAATGAAACAGCTGTCGTAGAAGCACATTTGCAATGAGATCATCAAAAACCAGGAATCACCAAATAACAAAGGAAGCAAGGTGCGAAATTCAGAAGTATTAACATTGATGTTTGAATGAATTAATCCAATTTCAAGTGGAAGTCGTTATCTCTGCATGTGATGAAATGTCACTCTCCATCTTGTCATCCCTTGGTCCCTCCATCACCACACTGTCAGCTCTCAGCTCAGCATTTCTGCACCTGCAAGCAAAATATTTCCATCTAATTCTTCCTTCTTCATATCCAAACTTTGGAAGCAAACAGAAGGGCCTATCCCAACCATATGGCCATATTATGACACACATGCCAAAATCACCCTGTCAATCACTACCTAAGAAGCAGGCAAAAGTGGTGCATAACACCATATGTATGACACGCAAATTTAAAAATTGTAACTCATAACCATGTCTTACTAGAAAGGGGAAAACTGATCCACAAAGCATATAACAGCCGTTACGGAGAATATAGCATACTTCCACCTCATCAATATCTTTCCTATCGTCATATGCAATCTAGGTACTAGGACTTTTATTCCTACAAATGCCATTCGCCTGACAGCAAGGACAATAACCCTTTCCATACTGCACGATGCATTTTCTCCAAGATAAAGACATCACAGCTGGAACAGCTAATCCCTAAGGCATGAGGGTTTAAATTGATTTTCCACTTTTCAGTCAATGTCAGTGACCATGCAGCAATCAAGTGAGAAACTGAATTATGACTAGTAATACAGAATCAACTACAACTGACCTAAATCATTCCAAACCAGAAAAAATTATAGGCATAATTTTTCCATCTGTTGAACATAAAGAATTGGTACAACTTATGAAAATGACATTTATACCACAAGATTTTGTGATCTGGGCCTTTCTAAATGGACAAAGAAACTTCTCCAAAGAGAGCAAAGAGGTCTGTCATAATAAACCATAAAACCTCAAGCATTACATTTCTTGTTTTATGTCTGTTTAGCTACTCCTTAATCCATATCAACTATTTCATAAAAACCCAGAAGAGGAGATCAATGCCTAAAGCAGCATACTTACTGCAGACAGCAGGGCTCTAGTCTCATCAATTGCATCTGCTTCAAGGATCTGGCTCCTCTGAATACCGCATTCTGGGTCAACGAGGTTTTCCCATCATCCTAAAATAAAAAAGTGATACTGTATTTGAACCAGAAGAAAACTTGTGACAGGTCCCTGAACTACCAATACCAAATGACTTCTTCTTAGCAAATACAGGGTGTTCGAAAAGTCAATGTGCAGTGCACAATGTGCAATTCACATGACGTAGGGGGCCCCTTTGTAGCTAGGAATTACAGACAATAAATTATGTGAATCAGGGATGGTGACAATATTTGATGAAATATTGAGTGGAAATTCATGTCTTTGATGATGCAATACATGTGATACGCAGTACAATACTAAATGCATGCAACAAAATAAATGAATTTTACTGCACAGTGACTTCTTGAACACTCTGTATAACAATAAGAATGAACAGACATTTTGCAGGAAGTTCACATCCAGTAATTTATCCTAGCTTTTCACAAATATAGTGACTAAGCAATGAAAGGGGGGAGATGCAATTCTTAGCATGTTCAGGAGAGGAAGGATTCAGTCTCCTGGAATGCTAGGTCAGAATTAGGGAATGTTTGGCCATATGCTAGGAATCTGAGTCTTAGCATTCAAGAAGTAAAGCAAACTTTCTTCAATAATAAATTATGTTTAATTTAGAAAAATGATTTTCTCCTGTTTTATAAAAAATTAAAAACTGCACCTGAATCATTTACTAAGATTCCAAATATATGTAGAATGCCTCCTAAATGGAGTTCAATAATCAGATGAGGAAACTGAAAAAATTCACAATATGAAAACACAACTATTGGGTGGAAAAAAACCAAAAAACATGTTTTAATATTGCTTACCTTTTGTTCTGTTACAGATGTCAACACCTAATTAGAATACTAATGATAGACAATATCAATGATTTGCTATTGTTGCAAACGAACAATAGCTAAACTATCAATGGAGAGGGGAGTATTTATTGAGAAGCATATTGAGACTGAGTCTGTTACATGTGTACAATGAGCTTTCCACAAGTGGCATCCTGCTCTGGATACACCATCAGCATCAACAACATTATAAATCATTGCCAAGTGGAAGACAAGAGACAGTGAGAACCTGTAATATTGATAATTCAAGAAGCCTGATGACAGTGCAGACAAATGAGGCCATTCAAAATGTATGCAAGTCAGTGATACACAGTTCAGGGAAATTGACATCCAGTCTGTTGGCAGAAATTGGAGTTTCTAGGACATCCCCCAGATGAATTTTGCATTAAGACATCAATTCTCTCACCTGGGGGAAGTCCTAGAGATGCCAATTTCTGCAAACAGATGGTGAGTAGACTTTCATGGATTGCAAGTCACAGATTCGCATGAATTCTAAAATATCTACACTGTCATCAGGCATCCCGAATTACCATTACAGCTTCTCACAGTGCCACGTGTCTTCCCCTTAGCAATGACTTGGCACATCATTGATCCTCCTGATGAGGTATCTTGTGCAGGATGTTGCTTCCAGGAACAGGGCTTGCACTAATTTTCTTGCCTTAGGGGTCCTCAGGACTCTCAAGTCTTATAAGAAAGGGTCACTCAGAAAAATTTGGGGGTCCCATCGCAATTGAAGCGTGATGAAATCTTGCAAAGTTGCACAAAATGTTTCAAGTCCCACAGTCATTTTTTTTTTCTTTGATTTAACATGACCAAAAGCATGATATTCAATCCAGCACCTTTAGGACTACTTCCAACATTTTCTCTTTAACAAATATCCCTAGGGCATCTTCAAATTTTCAAATTACAAACTTCTGCTTATTATGACTGCCAGATGCTGAGTAGGGACTTTTCTTATTTGCATTTGAGCAGAAATCCCAGGAAGCTCTTCCATCTCTATAGGAAAGCCAGGAATACATTTTGATCCACACCTTTTTCCATTTTAAAAATAAATTTTCATTGTAATTCATGGTTTACAAGCTGCCCATTTTCATAATCGCCCATGTCCATCTCTTTCCCTTCAGTTTGACTGGGTCAAAGCCTACAGCAATCTTCCCTTCTCTGTGCACCCTAAGTGGAACGATGACATCACCTTTGTTTAGAATTTATACCGACGCTGTTGATACCTTTCTTTTTGTGCCACTAGGCCCATGTTCAGGAACATCTGAACGCATGCCAACGTGTGATTCGAATAAACTAACAGTACATTTTCCACTCGTTACTGAACAAGAAGAGTGTTGGCCCAAACTGCCCTGAAGTCTAAATTGAAAGGAACGGAAATACGTCATAACATGTGAACACAATGCATCATGCTTCGCTCTCATCACTTTCACATCATGCACCTTCCTCAGCAAGGACTTCCCCCCCCCCCCCCTTCCTGTTGGTAATAAGGTTGCACACGGGTTTATTTAGGCACGGTTCTAAGAGGCAACTGCCAATGGTCTGAAAACCAGTCAGAAAATCTGGAACTTTCCTGTGCGTCCCTGGGACCCCAATGTTTTTCTGTTGTGCTTCCTTTCAGAATTTTGTGCATATAGGACGCACATCTGCACGTAAACACAAGCCCTGAGGAAGTTCATTCTACACATGTATATGTTAACACTTAGTCTCAATTATAACTATTCCCTGCTCCATTGATGGTTAGGCCATTGTTTACATGCAACAATTGTAAAGAAAACTTTTCAGATTGCCTACCATTTGCATTTTCATAGGCATAGATATCTTCAAGAGAACAAAAGGGGTATAGTTCATTATGTCAACCCCCCCTACCCCATTGGGCAGGGAGGTTGACATAGCGGACGTGAATTCACCCGACGCTGAATTGAGTGAGATTGGCCTACAGGCTCGTGATGTTACCCTCCCCTGCCCTTCCTTGTGAACCTCTCTCTTGGGTTGGTCGCTCGACCTCACTATCAATGTTCTGAGCGCCCTTCGCGGGGAAACGTAGGGAAGAGAAGCATAAGACGAGCAGACGACGGGGACCCTAACGTGAAACTAGCATGGCGCTGCTCATGCATCCCTCAAGGGAGAGGTTCGCAAGGAAGGGCAGGGGAGGGTAACATCACAAGCCTGTAGGCCAATCTCACTCAATTCAGTGTCGGGTGGATTCACGTTCGCTGTCAACCTCCCTGCCCGGTGGGGTAGGGGGGGTTGACATAACGAACTATACCCGTAAAAAGATATAACCCTCATGTTCAAACTGATGCATGAATTTCAGTTAGATTTGATTTTTGCACACTGGAATCCAGGGGATTTTTTTTAATTAGAGAATATAAGCTGAAGACATGAGCACATTAAGATGTGCTGAAAGAAATGGTTCACTTAATTCTAATATGCACACAATTACATATGCCAATATACCTCCTGCCAAGTTTTATGATTGAAAACAATTTAAATGCCTCCATGAACACTATCCTGCAGTTCTGCCTTTCAAAACTTCCACTCTGAAGAAACACTCATGTTCTTGTTATGCTTATTATAACTCATTTCTAAAAGTGGCTTCTGGACTGATAAAATCCAATGCTTTTACTATAGCTTAATTTAAGCATCAGTAGACACCCCAAGACATGGAAATGGACATTAAGTCTGTTGAAAAAGGAGCTATATGTGAAGCTTACTCACCCTTGAACATAGCATTTCAAAAATTACAGCATTGCTAAACTTGAGGTAGAGAGTTCTGCACTAACACATGGATGTTTCAAATTGTCTCAACCACTAGTTATTCTTGATGAATAAAAATGGCTGACTGTCAGAGGAACAGAGATGACTCATGTGTAGGGTAGTACACTACAGCTGAATATCAATCAATTTGATAAGGGAATGGAGGTAAACCACTTGCCCATGCAATGAGACAACAATGCTGACAATACCTTGTTTTACACAAAGCCCTTACCATCAGCAACACCTGCCACATATGACTTTCACCATCATATTCAATCTTAGAGATATGCCAAGATATCCACTTATGATTGACTTGGGTAAAATAGTTACAGAAATTGGAACCTATTACCATTTCAAAACCCCAATAATTTAACCTCCTCTTTAATATCATAACAAACTTGACAAAGCATGACGAAAACATAAGAGGAAATACTTACATTTAGTCATCACAGATGGCTTCAAAACCAACTTCACCCTTTACCTTCCACTTCCACCAAATTCTCCAGATATGCACAGCCTTTCAAACCATTCCCACAGCAATGAATCAAGCTGACACCTGTCTGTTCCATTTCAAGTAACTGCAAAGTGACAAAACCATAACCTTCATGTGCTAAAGTAATAAGGCTCTGATGCAACAAGGAAACTACAGTGAGATGGTTTTCATCACCAGAGAACAAGTCAAGCAGTAGCTGATCCTTTTAGCCTAATGTTAAGCACCACAGTAACACTGAACATTTCCAAAAGAATTCAAGTTTATTATTTTCCCCTGCCAAGTATTAGCATACACACATACACTACGATGTAAGCGACTAGGAAATAGTGAATATGTCCCCACAAAAACATCTTTATTTGATAAGAGCGTCTTTATACTTTTATACTGGAAGGCACACAATAATGGGCCAAGGTGGCTCTTTCATCCCTATCAGAACCTTGAACGTCTGGCCATTGCAAAAATTGCTCCACCAGGCGATTCCGATGATAAATGAGAGGAGGCGGGCTTTTCCGTTCCTGATGCCCTATTCCCAGCAATCAATATAAACAAAATGGCCATAAAACGGTAACATCGAAAGCTGAAACCTCTATTATGTAAATGATCCTTTAAGAACTTCCCAGCTCCTAAATGAAGAAGGGCGCTCTTCAGCATAAAGACCCCCTCATCTCGCTCAAATGACGGTTCATACTTTGGGCCACTTAATAGGCATGTTAGGCCTCTCACTACGGGAATAAAACCTGACAACCCCACTGAATGTAGGCCTACACTAGGACTGGTTATTCACTTCTATACTATGTCGCGCGCAAAGAAATTCGAAAAATGAACAAATACTAAACACTAATGCGAGAATGAACACCATATGAGACCAGAAACTGTAATAAAGAGCACGCCCTCCCGACCCAGCCAGGAAGAAGAATGCACGCCAACTGCGCCGAGGCGGAGCGGCATGGACGCAGATCCCCGAAGAGACCAAATCGGGCACGGAAAACCGGTCACGACTCGGGCGTTGAACCCCCATATTTCAGAAATGCATCACTTCGATGTCAATCATCATAGCGAGCTGACCCGTTTTCAAGGCACGACAAACTCCTGAGACGAAACCAACTCGACTGCAGCATCGAACCTTTGCAGGATGTATTTAATCCGTAGAATTTAGAAAGTGCATCGACTGCAAGGCGGACGTCAAGCTACACACGATTTTCAGCACGCAAAACTCAGATAGCGAATTCCATTGGACTGCAATACCAAATCAAAGCAGCAGGAACCCTTAACCCGGGAGATCCGACACATTCCACGAATGCATCAAAGTATCAAGGTGAATAAAGGTATCACCACTAGTAAAACGATTTCCTATGCATGCCAAACTCACGAAACCGAGTCATTCTGGTTACGATTTGAAACAGCAGGATGAGCGTATAATTGTGAAGCTTGCCTAGCTTCGATAATGCATTACTTGGGGTCAAGTGGATTCTTCTTCCCCCTCCCCTTTAATCCGGATTTGCTTGCAGATCAGGTATGAATACGAGTCGGGCGTCTCCCGAGGCACGCACGCTCGTTCAAATGTAGTCCGTCGAGCTGCGACATCGAATCGGGATGGACGCGTAACTAAGATCACCACGCTTCGAAAATGCAGAACTTCCAAGGAAGGTATCGGGACGAGTGAGGCATCTCACTCGAAAGGAACACTGGAACCAACTCACTGCAAGATGGCGTCGCGGCTCGGCGAACGCCGGATCACAGAGGATCGGAGACGCGTCTCGGGAATGCATCGCTCGCGAGGCACGTTTCAGACTCTCCCGAAAATCGTAATGGCTTTTTTTTTTTTTTGGCCTTGTGGCATCGCGAGATCTCGTTTGATGTGGTTGCTGATCCTCGAGGTGATTCTCGTATCGCTAAATGGAGTGCTGAACTTCGAAAATCTTCCGTTGCGTCCGTTCATGAGTTGCAATTTCAATTTGAAGTTTCAATCGAAGTAAAATTATTTTATTTCCCTCGCACCTCTCTCTCTCACCCTCAAGAATCAGTTCAACACGTTTTCATCCCATTTGGGCAAGAATTTAGCAATTTGACCTCGTCGGTCTTAGAAGTACAAGGGCTCATTACTATTACTACTTTCTCGTTGCAAGAAGGCCTACCGAAGTAATATTAGCAAAAATACTAGTAATACTCAGGTTCAAATTTGCTGGAGAGATTATGGGTTGAGAGAGAAAGAAGTATGCCAAACTTCGTGTGTCAACCCTTGTGACACATTTCATCACGACCGATATGAAGAAATTCTCTCACGACACATATACGTGCGTCAAACGACACATTATATCGTGTCATTTCTCTCTCTGTGTCGATGCTCTCAGAGAGAAATACGAGGCTGAATTTTGTGGCGGAAAGGAGTTGAAGAACGGCAATAAGCGATCCCGCTCCTGCTGCACGATTAACACTCCTCACCGCCGTCTCAAATCCCATAAATTCCCACTTCACCCAGAGTTTCCGTTTCCAGCATCCCAAACTTTCCTGTTTTCATCCACCCTACTACATGGGGAAAAGGTGACTCGTATGGGAATTTCTCATTCAGACGGAATGAACTCCCCGTTTCATCACACCCATGTCCATCGTCCCTTCGAAGAAGTCGCTCGAACGACGGAGCGTCGTAAACCCTGCATCGCAGCAGCACCTTCTCGCCATCTCCAGGTAGCGACAGAAACTGCCATGTTCGTTCTCGAATCTAGATGTCGCAACGCTTCAGGGACCAAGCGCTTCGGCACCAGCTAAGGAGCATGTCGAGACGTTAGAGAAGTTTCTCTATAATCAGTTGTGTGCGGAGGCTCGGACCTCGAGTTCCTCGTCTCTGGGGGCATTTCTGGGGAGTCTCTGGGGGCAATATCGTCCATTCTGCTTCTACCTCTACGGGAAGAAATGGAAATAGAGTAGTCTGCAGAGTAGGGAAGGGAGGACCGCTCCTGGGAAACTACTAAAATTAGTACATTCAGGGCAATATGTATAATCCTTTGCCTTCATTATCGATGCAATTTTTGGGTGCTACCATAGAGAAGAGAGTGTAACTGGAGGCGACACTCCGAGGGGTATGGGAAGCAGGGCCGACCCTAACTATTTCTGTGCCCTGTGCAAAGATATTCCGAACGTTGCCCCCCCCCCCCCCCCCCCCCCCTCCCCCTGAAGGAGAAGGGTTCAATTCCAAACGTTCAAAATGACGCTGAAACGAGAAGCATTTCTTCTTTTTAAAGTAAAATTGAGGGTTGCTTCCGGATTATTGCTTCATATACTCATTCACGTTTTGGAGCCCCTGGTGGGCCTCATGCGGCGTGACTTGCTATCAACGACATGGGGCGTACTTAGTAGCAGCGGAATCGGGAATCGACTCGTTCGGGGATTCGACCCAAAGGGAATCCTCAAAGTAGCACGCGTGTCTCGTCGAGTCCGCTTCTCGGCCATGGAGTTGTTGACGCGCGCACGCTAGGCGGAGGATCGACAGCGACATCTATATTGCGACCGTGTCAATGAATGGGATTCGACCGGAGTGGAAGTCTCTAGTTACACTCTCCGCTCCATGGTGCTACTAGGGCGGGAGTGAGCGTTCCAATAAATGATATTACAGGCAAAGACGTTGCCGTGCTTTAATCGCAGCCCATCTTCATAATGGAATTTGTGAACGTCTCTTGATTCATATGTAAGCTATATATAGATATATGATTCATATATCTCGACGGTTTCTCGCAGGCAAACGTTCGTCCTTGCCGTTCGTCGATTCGAGAGGAAAATCGGTTTGGAGTCCCGAGTTCGAGGAATCCGGATCCACAGACGCGCCCCAACTCGACCCGCTCGACCACGAGACGAACAGGAAAATAAACAGATTTTTCGACTCTCTCGGCTGCTCGGGGGAACCGCAGATCGTCCGAGGCGCCTCGTGACGTCACCATCCCCGGTATTTCTGTCTGTTTCGCGCCAAGGAAACAAGGGAGCCATCGCTTGCATCTCCGTTTTTACGATGCTATCGATTGTTGGAGATGTCGCTCGATTCCAGGGAGTTCAATTATTCTGCTTCTACGTGATTCGAAGTCGCAAGGCTATAATGCGTTGTCGATACCGTTTTGGACTCTGCGTGCTTTATGTACTGTATATATTTTTCTTTTACTTCACATGAGATGATAACTTTGTTTAAATGTTAATGGATACCCTGCACCAGATCAGATTTTCATTTACAAGATTTTCTATCATGTTTTCTGTGTTTCTTGCATTGCGTGGAACACGCCAATTTTTCGTCCCCTGCATATACTGTATATTTTGTATAACTAAATTTAGTTATACAAAATATACAGTATAACGCCGTATTAATACGGCGTTACCTATCTCTCCTTCGCCCCCAATTGATGCATGTCAATGGGCCTACTAATAGATCAGAAGGGAAACATACAGGGTGTTACCCTTAAAAGTGTTCTGAGGTGGTTCAGCACCGGCAGCGCAGAACCTCCACGCCCCATGTAATCGTGTAGACAGTGCTCAACATCTCGTAATTTCCTAGTTGATAGCGGAATATGACCGTTGGAAAGGAGATCCCACGGAAGTCCTACACAAACAGAAATAAGCATCTTTCGAAGGACCCGCCAGGTGCCAGATGCGTCCAGGTCTGGCCCCTCGGGACGGTGCCAGTCCGAGCGCGAGCGCATGCCGACGCGAGCACCGAGCACGTGGACCGACTCCGACCGACTGATGACATCGCCAGGCGGACGTCTCCAGCCTTCATCGAGTCCCAGAAAGCGACTCGGTTCCATTCGGATTCCCCAGCCGTTCGAGACCTCGCGAGAAGCGGGGATGGAGATCCCCCGTCCACGTTTAGAACCGCCATTCCCAGTGTGACCGTCGTGAAGATTGTGGATGTTGCAATCGGTTCGTCACTTTTCCTTTTTCGTTCCATCGCAGTATCCATAGCAACGGGAGTCTCCATGTTCTCCATGAACGCAGCCCTCCGTCTGGGTCGGGGTGTCAGTTGCCGACTAAACCTGGCGGTTCCCTTCTGCGCCGTACCGAGGATACTTGGCGCCCTGTGCGAAATATCAGTCCCGCGCCCCCCCCCCCCCCCCCCTGTACCTCTCCAGCTTCCACAGCACCAACAATACATTACGTATTAATTTATATGTTTAATTTAGTTAAATTCGGGATAATTTGCATTTTTTATAGTTTTATTTATATTTTGTAATAATCCGGTTGTCAATCGGCGCCCTGTGCGGGAGCACCGCTCGCACACCCGCTTGTTACGGCATTGGTTCCCTTCCAGTCCTCCTAGCTGACGGATCCATCCGGAGAGCGGCTGCCCGTGTCAGCTTGGGCAGGGTTGCTGACCGAACTCGTTGAATGCCGCATCTGGCAACCCTACAAGTTGCTCCCTCCTCCCATCTTATATCCTCCGCCGCAAGGTTAGATTTCGATGATTGCTGTTCCATTCCAGTAAATGCAAAAACAGCTCATGGTATTTCTTCTTTATTTTGAAGTTAATCTCTCTACAATCGCCAATGTAGCCTATCATGTGAGTGATAAAATAGACCTCGACGTTATTGTATCTTCGGAATCGACGAAATTTCACCGACGATATTTGAGTAACTGGTCGCAAAGGGGTAACTGGTGACCCGACGGCCAGCGTAACAGCAAACGTGTACCGGCGCTGGTGCTCTAGTCACACGCCAAACCGCCTCGAGTCCCCGAACCTCATGTCATGAGATTCTCCAGAGCGATTCTGAATGTAATTGCCAAACAGAAGTTCCGAGGAAGCCTACTCGAGCTTAAATTTCCTGGAAAAAAATTCATCTCCAAATCCAGATCGCAACAGGAACGAGATGGACAGCTTGGGAGGGGACAATCCCAGGAAACGACAATAAAATCGAAAGACCGACTCGGAAATCGTACTCATCGTAATCGTACTCGTACTCGGACTCGGAAAGCCTTGCCTTTCTCGCGAATCCATCACCGCCCAAATCCCGTTTCACCAAATGGAAATGAAAAACGCTCCTCACCCGGACCCCTCTCAAGGCACCACGCGATCCCCATCGACCCCTCTCGCACGCCCCTCCCCGACACACTGACACCTCCACCGCCCGACCCACATCAGCGCCATCTCGAAATCGCAAAGCGAATCAGTTCTCGGACCCCCCCCCCCTGACGTCTCCTCTTCTCGCATTCAGTGAGCGCCCGGACCTCCCACGGAGACGATGTGTCCGTCCAGTGCTGCGATCCGTCTCGATTTCGCAAGTTCGATCAAAATCGCAAGCAGTCGAGGTCGGGGGAACGGTGCGTCAATATTTCACAATTTAAATTCTCTTTTGCCCTTCTTTCTGCTAATCGCAAGTGAACTTTTCGGTATCCGTCAGTCTTGGGTCTCTTTATTAGTTCCGATGCTTTTTTTTTCGATTCGCACGACTTCATCGTTTATGGCCATTCCTTTTCTCGTGGGTCGCATTGAGTGCACAGGAATCGCTCTCGCAAAGTCACGGCACGAAGAAAAAGCTCGAGAATCAGCAGATGAGCGGGGGAAAAGAGTGAATTTACATTGACAGGCTGTCGCGACTCGCGATAGAGTGACAACGTCGAGGCGCAGGGAGGAGTCACATCTGAATAATACCTCGTATTACGTCCTCTCCCCCCCTAATTATATAGTTTTTTTATATTTCAAATAATAGCTCTTTCCCTTTCTTTGTCTTGCGTGTCTGCCACATGTCCCCGCAAAAAAATAATAATCTGGGCATTCACCTTTGAACTTTGCCATCATCTGGTCTCGTGTCGTTTCTTTCCTCGCAGGCTTATCTTTCGCATTCGAATGGACACAATAGAAGAAAATTGAAGCATTATGCTTATGGCTTGATGATGCAGGTTGCGGGGTTAATTTCGCTTTTAGCCGCCTTTCAAATTCTAAAGAAAGAAGTGATCCTGCTGAAATCGCGTTTAGGTTCAATGTGATGATGAGCATCAGAGAATCAGAATCGATACGACGTAGATTAATAAAGGACATGGCACCAAAGCGGTCTTTGCGGTGTCGAAAGGAGAGAAATCATTTGAGCAGTGCTGAAATTCACTCCATGCACGGAAAAGGTACTTTTTATGACTTCGCTTTGAACGACTGTCGGCTTTTGTTCGGACAGCCTAGATATGAAACTTTCAGGAAACCAAGTCTGTAGTGTTTCCAGTGTGATGTGGGAAAAAAAATCAGGAACTTTTGGATGATCCACAGCGGGTTTTATAGAGTCAAAAAGGGCGCTTTTGTGCGATATTATCTTTGGGGAGGGCGTCTGCTCGACCGACGCAATCCCTCAGGCAGGCACATTCGAACGCTGTCCTGCGGGTGCTCGCAGGTTGTCGAGGACTGGCAGGAGTGATTTTTTTTAAAAGGGGGTTGGACCCGTAGAGGTGGGACACAACACACAGCGCAGAATTTATGTTGCAGAGGACATATGTAGATTTCTTCGAGTCCGGTAATAAATAAATTAATAACCGTATCATACTTAATCCTACTGAAATCACGGCATAAATTCCTATTTTATTTTTCTGGAGTCAATCGAAGTCTTAATTTGTTCGATTTTAAGCTGTATGGAAAATTATGTTGCGAATTTAAAAGGATACTGAAAGACGTTAATTCCTATGAAATCGAGCCCGGCTAAATTTCACCTCAAATTTTTTTTTAGAAGAAAGTAACGCGGTGATCGATTTCATTTTCGACCGGGAAATTGCTGAAAAGAATGCAATCATGGAAATTTAAAATAAAGATGGCGCTAGTGTCAATACGGATGCGAAGCTCGTGCATGCACGCCATCGCCATCAACTCGATTTTTTTATTTCTGGGCCGGCGAAGCTTACATGCCAACGAAGATGCGAATCCGGAGATGAATAATGGAGATTCGCTATTGCCAATCAAGTACGCCAAGGTTTTTCCATATAAAGGGTGATTATAAAGAAAGCTTCCTCGTTCAACGCCGACAGATCTTGTAAACAGTTTGACAAAGCATCGTGGAAATCAATACGAATGCTACAAGGGCCGCGGGGAAGACATTATGTCTCGTGTTGTCCACAAAAGCCAACAAATGGCCCACTTATGCTAATCAATCGTGTTCGATGCGTGCACCTCCATCATCCACCGGCAAACTTTTAAGTTGTGCGGGATTCTGAATTCTCGCGTGTACCGAGGGACTCCACGCACGATTCCTTAGAGATGGCCTTTGTCGGGGCCGGCATGAATTTTGCGGCGTGCGGATGCCGTGTCTGTTATCGCACGAATTCCATGCATGGAAGGAGAAAACAACTGATTATCGTGAGTGGGCCATTTGTTGACTTTTGCGGACGACACACGACGCTCATCGTATTGTCTTCCCATGGCCCCTGCAGCATTTGTATTAAATTTCACGATCACGTGTCGATTCGTTTAAGAGATGTGATTCTTTGAACAAGGGAACTTTCCTCGTGATCACCCTGCACAGAAAGAAATGAGTGTGTCAAATGGGGCACAAAAGTAGATTCTGGATCGTCTGGGCGACACGGAATGATGTGTCATGAGTTTTGACGCACCGAAACATGTCTCTTGGCACATCTTACTACATCTGTAAGCACATTTAAATGCGCCCAGCCTCGTGACACGTTATTCCTTGTCCTCAGGTCATAATCCAGACGTATCAATAGACATACACTGTAGTGTGTCATGGGACAAGATTGGGCGAGTCCGTTGGGATATTCTCTCCTACAGTGTGTCACGTGACACGTCTAACTGCATCTCAAGAAGCGTTGAAATGTGTCAACCCTTGTGACACATTTTATCACGACCGATATGAAGAAATTCTCTCATGACACATATACGTGCGTCAAATGACACATTTTATCGTTTCATTTCTCTCTGTGTGTACACGCCGTTTCATCTCATTCTCAGCTGAACCATACAATCAATTCCACTTCTTAAAGGATCACTGTAAACCAGGGGTATCAAACATACGGCCCACGGGCCGGATCCGGCTCGTCGCCACACAGAGAAATGACACGATATAATGTGTCAATTGACGCACGTATATCTGTCATGAGAGAATTTCTTCATGTCGGTCGTGATAAAATGTGTCACAAGGGTTGACACATTTCAACGCGTCTTGAGATGCAGTAAGACGTGTCAAGTGACACACTGGAGGAGAGAATATCCCAACGGACTCGCCCAATCGTGTCCCATGACACACTACAGTGTGTGTCCATTGATACGTCTGGATTATGGCCTGGGGACACGGAATGACGTGTCATGAGGCTGGGCACATTTAAATGTGCTTACTGATGTAGTAAGCTGTGCCAAGAGACATGTTTCAGTGCGTCCAAACTCATGACACATTATTCCGTGTCGCCCAGACGATCCAGGGCCCACTTTTGTGCGTCATTTGACACACTTATTTCTTTCTATGCAGTTATTGACATTTCTGCCTGGATCGACTCTCAGCGCCCTCCGCGCTCAGGCCTAACCTGGAAGAGTTGAAGGCGCCCTCACCCCTCCTTCACCATCGGCGATTAGACGATGCCGTCTGCTGGTTGATCCAGGCCAGGGCTGTCAGCATTCGAAGGGTTCATTCGAATAGAGAGGGATCGTCGTCGACTCGCAGCAGTCACGGAGGCGCAGCTGCCTTCATTCAGCCGCCTGCCTCCGAGCAGCAGCGGCGCGGCGGCGGCGGCGTTCGGTTGAGTCACGACGGCAGGCGTGCGATCTCGGACGACAGAGCTGCTGTAGCCGCTGCCGTCACAACTGTGGTGATGCTGCTGTCGTGTTGTGGCTGTGTGCTGGTCGATGCGAGTGTTTTATGAGCCTGTTGCGTAATAAGTGTCATGTGGGTCGGTACGTTCTGTTGCTTCATGATACCGTGAACTGAAGAAAACTGGAGAAGTTTTCTTACTGGAACTGTAGCAAATTTATATTTTTTAAAGATTAATAGAGTTTTGCTCTCACGTCTGATGACCTGTCTTCAGCATACTTTTACGCATCCGCAGATTTAAAAGCAGGTACACGTTGGCAATTGCCATCGATGGGCAAAACTTAAATTTGGAGTGTCCCAAAGTTGGAACGCTGAAAACTGAACGAATAATACATTTTGGTGAGAAATTGTGGGCGCACAGCCCGTCGACCAACCACGACCACCATGTCGACCGTTGAGTTCGACACCCCTGCTGCAAACTGATTCCGGAATAAATTCCCCTCCCCCTCCCCCTGTCCCCTGCCCCTAAAGGAGCGCTTCCGTAGATTGCAGGCAGTGACTTCTTTCAGTTGTGGAAGGTTCATGGATCAGCCGATGAGGCTGATCCTTCGGAAGTTGTGCCTTCGCCAATACCCGGTGGGAGGAGGAAACGAATTCCTTCCGAAAACGGCGTGCGGACCGGACTTCTAGTCAGATTCCCAGTTCCATGATGCAATAAATCATGTAGTCATTTCAAGGGCTCTTCATGCTTCTCAAGGTCGTCTCTAAGCACAGCGGTTTCTCCTGCACCTTCGTGAATGACCAATGACCAATCTCTCCCAGCAAAGGGAGGCGCCACCGAATTGTGGTGTGGGGTAGAGACCTGAACGGAAGAGTTCGTCGACCCGGCCCGCACCCGACCCGAGACCCTGATCGCCAGTCGAACCCGCACAGACCGACCAGACCTGACTTGATCAAAGACAAAATTTACGCTTTCATTCGGTGTCTTCGTTTCGATTAGAGTTCGAGCAAAATGGCATGGTTCTTATGTAAGCGCGGAGCATGCCATGGTGGACATAATGAGTCCTCATTATCTTAAGTTGTTACGCATAAAGAAGGGGTAGCCCCCTGCTTCCGATCTCTCATCGGTTACTACGTCGAACTTCGCTCCGAGATTCTCTCAGATGGAGCACTGCTTAAGTGGAACGCACAGGATTGCCTGGAAATTACGAGCGTGACCGTGATTCCAGTCCAGAAGCGCCAAGAAAAATAAAATTCAACCGACCGGAGGTGGAATATTAGGAATTCAGGCCCAAAGGGCCCGCCGATCGGGTCGGGTCTGGTCGGGCCGATTGTACCTGCCCGCGGCCCGCAGAGGACTACGGCATGGCACGGCCAACCACAATGGATGTCCGCCAGTAACGTCCATGATGGCGTCAAGAGGCGCGGACCAATAAAAAGCGCCAGCTGGATCACGTGAACAAGCACAGCCAATGCCTTTCGTACTCCATGAACGTTCAGTATCCCTTGTCGTGGGGACCATGAACCGAGATCAACCAACTTGTAACGTTCTTTTGAATGTGAGGGATGGCACGTGGTCTTCTCTCTGTTCACTGGTTGATCAGTGTGACAGTTAGGCTAGAAAATTTTCATTTGCGTAGTTACGGAGGTCGACATTTTCTCGAATTATATGGTATAGATTAAGCAAGTAAAATTTTGAAAAAGGCAGTTGCGCTCGGGAGATGAAGGCCTAGAATAGAATGCTATTGTCTTTGTTGTATACCTAGACGTAATGCTAGAGCTAGGCCTAAGTTGAAAAATAAGGCCATCTTAGCCTAGGCCTACATGAAGGTACTCTTCTGGATATAAGACTCGTCCGAGCTTTGGCTGCAGTCACGTGCTATATCGCAAGGAATTCCTGGGACAATAAAATACAAGGGAAAGAAAGCATAAAAGTTCTGCAGCTACTACCCAGGCGACTAGGCCTAGGCTTACGCATTGCAGGCCTCTACTTAACATGTTAGATGTAGCTTTTAGAACAGAAAATTTTATGAAGATACTTTTGATGAAAAGCAAATTTTTTGCCATTGAGTTATGAAGTAGCAAGGAGTGGTAAGCAGTTGTTGCTCTTAATGGAAAACTGTGAAATTGGGAGGTACATTGGCAAAGTTCTGGACTCCCTATTCTTTATTATAAATGATGTACTCCTTGATATTTCTAAGATCTGGTTCTTTACTAATGACTGCAAACTCAGATTCATTACTTTCATGAGTGGAAGTATGTATGAAATTGCTTGGAGGGATTGTTGTATCTTGCATGATTTCTGAGGTACTTGCAAAAAAATGATGTTGGATATGTGAAATTAAAGCTACCATTTATTGACCAATGGTGTAATTTTTCATCAGTTTGTGTTTTTAAATTTCATGGTTTGTACATTTTATCTTGTATTATTGCTCATTTATTAATTAAATGTTTATTCATTTTAATAAAATCTATGCATAAGTTTCTATCTTTTCAGCTTCATTTCCCTACAACCTACATAACTGAGGTTTGCTATGAGCCAGTATCTAGTTCATTTTCAACATTGGTTTGCTTTCTTCTTCTCTCTTAGGGTTCTACCTTTTTTTGATTTAGATCTGTTGTCAAGCACTTTAGTAACCACTATGTCTGAACTGGAACAGATTTCATGTAAACAAAAGAAAACAGTAATAACTTATGTTTTGAAATCTTGTAAAGTGACTTGTTCATTCAAATCATGACTTCCAGAATTCTGGGTCTAACCCTGTTCATTATGTCACAACCGTCATCCCAGTTTGGTGCGTCATCTATCACATTGGAATTAAGTAGTACTTTGTAGATCAAGAAGTAGTAAACCATATTAGGCTATGTTGTAGTTTTGGCTTGCTATAGGTTGTCATCATGGAGTTAATATATCTATAGTAAAAACTTGCAAAGAGATGGAGTGAAACTTGTAACCTTACCATTTCCAAAGATGTAGTCTTTCCAACATTGAGATAGGACATGACAGAGGTGCCATATACATATGTTCAATGCATGTTTCAGGGAAGATAGAGGCAAGGATTAAAATTATAGTTTCGTTGAAGTGAGAAATCCCTGCATAGAGAGTGCAGGGGCATGCACCTGTGCCATTTTTTAATAAGCCCTTGGTGTGTAGTCGGACCCTGCTGCAGGTCATAATAAAGATAGACCATTCATTGTGATAGCATTACTTATTTTGCTTGTTTGACTTCACTTCACAAATATCTGCATTCCTGACCCTTTTTGTTGCTAGGGCAAGACAATGCTTTTTAATTTTCAATTGGCACAAAGAAGAGGTTAAAATATGTTATTTTTGCTAACTGTTCCTTTCTTGCAGAATATAACAGCATGGAGGCCTGCAGTAATCTGCACGATGGCTATGCAATATCACAACAAGAGTCCATTGCAATACGGGAAATGCTTGATGGCATGGAATTTGAGGACCAAACATTCTCTGATTGGGAACCAGAAGTCCATGATCTTCATTCACTTGATCTTGAACTACAGAAACTGGCTGATGATGACATTGATCCCTTTCCAACAACTACATCTTGTGATACTGACACCTGGGGGAACAGTACAAAAGGACAGAGTGCTTTCCTCGATGTGGAAAACACGGTGATGGTTGATCCTTCCTCTGTGGTCCCTGTGAGTCCTGTGCAAGTGCCTCACCTGTCACCGAAACAGGAACTGCCTGAGATTATCACCCCGGGATACATTTCAAAAAAAGGCAATGTCTCACAGGGCACCCAGACTGTAACTCTCTTTGCAACATCAAAAACGTTGACATCCTTCAGGGTTAGCACTTCTGGAACAAGGCCCATCTTGACTTTGCATGCAACAGCTTCTTTGCATGGCTCTGGGAGCCTCAATTCAACAAAAGTGGCATTGCCTCACAAGCCAGTGCTTTCATCTCTTCATGCTTGCAAGAGAGAGCATATAGAGTCAGACGATTTTAAGGTGGAAGTGCAGAACAAACGAGAATATTTGAAAGATAAGCATGTCCTCTGTGTGTGTGATGGTTGTGAGGGTGGTACTGAAGGCACCCGGGCCTCCAATTACCGGGCGATTGCCCCAGGCAATTGCACGAAGTCATTCCAGGGGTCCACTGTGACTTGTGGCAGCCAACAAAAAGTGCGACGAACTGTGTTGCACCGACCGCAACCAACAGTTGTGAACCAAAGTGGGAAAGTGTACATGAAGCCACCATATTCATATTCATGCCTCATAGCTATGGCATTGAAAAATAGCAAGACTGGGAGTCTTCCAGTATCATCCATTTACTCATTCATGAGGTGAGTCCCAGATGCAGTGCCCAATTGCAATCATACCAAGAAATGCTTCCAGCATCAAGCTTCTTGTTGTTCACATAAAATTTTTTGTTTCAAGAGAGCATTTGTTGCTTTAACCCAGTCTAGACAGAAAATCTGAAGATGCCTAGTAGCCATGTAATATTGAGCAGAATTGTATCATCCCTGCTGAGGATGTTCATGTGTGAAAAGAATTGGTGCATTTATAAAATCAGTTTAAAAAAAAAAAGAAAAAAAGAGATTAGTTTCTGATCATCTTTTGTGCTTACTGTCTAGCAGTTATTTTAATGCTCTTGTTTTTTGTGTCATTGTCATATTCATTATTTGCCTTTTAGATGAAGACCTTCCAATTTTTGCATCACTTCATCCTATTTGGTGTTGCTGTGTCACTCTCTTAAAACTCATTTCTCAGTGTGTGATTATTTTGGTCTCTGAGTTTCATGGCAGAACCAAAAAGTTTCCTTTTTGGTTCTGCCATGCAATATTTAAAATAGTACTTTGCAGTATAGATTTTCTCCCTTTGTCATCTCCAGTTCTAGTTAGGTGCACAACCCAAGTCTACTTTCCCTTTCGATTATGCTTACCTGAATAGGGAAAATTGATGTAATTTTTTTGTTGGCAGTGCAGTGATACCTTTCCATGTTTCTCTTCTTAGCCGTGAATTTCCCTACTTCTTGACGGCTCCCAATGGTTGGAAGAATTCAGTCCGACACAACCTGAGCTTGAACAAGTGCTTTGAGAAGGTGACAAAGTCTGACTGCCTTTCATCCTTCCAGCGCAAGGGATGCTTATGGACGTTGAATCCTGCTAAAAAGACCAAAATGGATGAAGAATTGCTGAAGTGGTCAGAGAAGGACCCTGAGGGCATTAGACTCTCTATGGCCAACCCCCGTATGTCATGAATTTCCCAGTTGACATGGTTCTTTTTTTTTCTCCTTAAATCAGTGTTGAGTTTATTTTGGCTCTTTGAAACTATAGTCCCTTTGTGCTTCCATCCATTTGATATGACAGAGATCTATTTCCACTGTAACATGGTTTGTGTTTGTTTACATATCAGATGTTTGAGTGACTATGAAAGTCACAGATATTGCATTGCATACCTGTGTTCAGGACAAGCAACCCTAAGATAAAAAACCATGTATTCCAACTTCTGTCTGTAAAGAATTGGGTGTCCAAGTAAGCTGCCAGGTCAGCATCAGAAGTTTATATATACAGTTTGTGTTGAAGCTATGAAGAGAATTCAAAATCAGAGAATTTTATTTTGATTTCCTCCATTTCACAGTTTTGTGTAACTTTATCTTACACATATTTTTTTCTGTTTGTTTGACTATCAGGTGGATATAACACAGTTAACATGGAAGACATAGACTTTGGTCAATATTGTAGCCATACTATGTTTCAATGTTCAGGGTAGTGATGCACCTCAGCACAATTGTTTGACTTTGCTCTTCTGTAAATTTGGATTGCACTTCCAGAATATTTTCAAAGTTAACTAGGTGTGTCTTTCTTTATGAATTTTGTCTGTATTAGGTACAAATGCAATCAACATTTTAGCTATACTCCTTATGCAACTAGTAGAAGCTCTTCTCCAGCACTGATAAAAGCTCTCATTTTGATTGGTCTGGGCTAACTTGGTTGATACCAACTTAACTGATCTGGAGTATGGAGTACTGGTTGATCTCTCCTGATTTGGTTTTAAAAAAGTAGGAAATAATTTTACTTTATATTGAATGGCTGAATCTTTTCTTGTTGAGTAACTTTGGTTGCAGCTAGATTATATTTGTTTTGGTGGGTGCTAGTATGCATCCAGACTTTGCATTATAATTTCATCCAGTGGAAAACACATCACAAATATTGGTATATTTCTGTCTTAATACAGAGAATTTGGAGAGATTGGAAAAAGGAGAATTGAAACTGGATTATGAACCAGAAGGTGATGCAGCCAGTTTGAGTGCCTCATCTGACCTTGACAGCGAAGGGGAGGATACAGAAGTGCTCTCTTCACAATCCAGCAGCCAGAGCAGTGTTGAAAGTGAACCAGAAGAATTTTGTTCTAGCCCTGTCACTGGCTGCTCTTCTTTTGATCTCCAAGTGAGTCATTCTCCTTCCAGGTAGAAGTTCAACCTCCAATGTACATATTAGAACAACTTAGATTTGAATATAGAAGTGTGAAAAACTTCAACTAATAAATATATGTATGTCATCAGGGTGATGGGTCAATGAAACTCTCCTCTCATGTCACAAATAGCTTTTGAGGAGTATATCTGTTAACCCAGATGTTTTCATGCCTCCAGGATTATTCTTGGGTTTATCTTTTTGGTCTTTGTTGGTCATAACCTTTCTGATCAAGTGAGTCTCCTTTGAATAGTTTTGAAAACCAGCACATGGATCCCATGCCTTTCAAACCATGGACTGCTCCAATGGGTTGGTTGTGCTACCCTATGTGCAGTGCATGTATGATTATAAAAAGGATGAAAGGGATTTTTTTGAACAAGTTTCATTGTGAAAAAGCAAATGGGATTGACTCTTTCATCCACTGAAAGAGTGAAATGAATGTAGGCTTAAGAACTGCCTTCATTTTTTCCTTGTAGGAAGAGGGTTGAACCTCATCTGCAAGTCTGTACTATGCTTTATTGATGCATCTCACAGGGACTCATGCGTTCATACTGTATTGAAAATATCAACATTAAATTCACCCTTTGGTCAGATTATTAAGAATAGCTAGTCTGAAGCACTGGTGGTTATGATCATAAAAGTGGAATATGCTTTGTCTCTCTGGTTCATTATTTCTATTTGGTGTTGGCAAGGTGTAAGCGATCTTTTTTTTTTAAACAAAATACTTAAATAATTAAATTACCTTACTAACAAAAAAAATTATTACACTTGCTCTTTTTTGTGATCACATTCAATTACTTTCATATGTGTATGTGTCTGAGGCTCACATTGTTGGATATGAGAGTTATGACCCCAGCTCATGTTTTCACTATTACTTTTCAAGTGTTCTCATGCAGTAATATGCTTATTTTATTCACAGGACAATCACGGTGCTTATCATTTGGAAATCAGTGAGCATGGAGGTACAAAGCCATCCAGACAAGGAACTTCAGTTGCTGTAATGAAGATCCAGGGTACTGATGTGAAAGGGCAGTCTGCATCTCAAGGTTGCTCTGAGCGTATTTTGCCTGGTGGGACCAAGTATGAGAGGAGCCCGGCATTGGGACCCTGCATCACATGAGGATCTCAGCTCCTCCATTTTAGGGCTGATTCATTTCAATCCCCTTCAATGTAAGATATCATCTGCCTCCATTCATATTTTGGCTTTCCATTTGAGTAGAATTGAAATGCTGATATAGGAATCCCTGTTAGTAGGGCTGTACTGATGTATCGGCCACATTGGCCATTGGCAGGTTTGGAACCAGCCGGTGCCGATGTTCAAAGAAGAACGTGCTGAATGAGGAAAAATAAAAAATACCATGTGAATGGGGCTCGGTAACCAATTCTCAACGGCTATAGGGCAAAAATTAGGGCTATCACAGTTCATCCATGGATGTATTGATGTCAGTTTTCGATAGTTGAGGTATGGTAGGCCTTATCACTGTCGCCAAGGTCACACCTCCCCCTCCAACTCCTCAAATCACGGGTGGATATAGGTCTGCACCCTGATTGAGGCAAAAAAAGGCAGAAACGAGCAAGAAACCTGATCTTGATCGCAGTGAGAAAAGACTGAATCCGCCGACACCAGCATCGATGCACCATTGATGTTTCAGATCGATACATGTGTGTATTTGAAACACCTTGCATGGATAAAATAATAAGATTGAATGTGCATTCATAATATGTCTATTTGACTTTTTAAAAATTTTGTTGAATGCTTTTTCACAGTTTCTCAACACATCACAATGGCCACCAGCACTGGTACATGCCGATAGGTATAAGAAAATAATCGGCCCGCCAGCCAAATGTGGCCACTGGTACAGCCCTACCTGTTAATGAGCTGTATTCACCCTTATGATTTCCATAACACTTGAGTCCATGGGGAGCTAATGCCTTCTCTTCTGATGCAAACACTTGCAGTTGGGATGAGCTGCTGCGACCCTGAAAAGAATGACATGACTGTAAAATGTAGGATTTACTAAAATAAACTGGTTAACAGTCACATCATATCTTCTTGTATGTATTAAATGAATGAAATTTTTACTATATTCATCTTGCCATTACAAAGTACTAAGTCCTGTAGACTTTGCAAAGGTTTTCAATTGTTGCTTATGAGATGGTCTTAAATAGGTGATTCTAAGGTTCAACTGTGATGTTTTCCCTTGCAGGAGGCATATATCCTGAGCCACCTCGCGGTCTGGTTTCATGCTGTTGCTAGTCTCCAGCGAGCAAGTGGTTCAGAAAACAAGTGATCTGATATTTTCTCAGGATCCTCCGAGCAAGCATGCATTCTTTTTTTTTCTGTACAGGGTGGCCATTGATTGATTTGACCCAAATTGTGGCTGTGATGTTCATAAAGTGTCAGTGCTGCAATGATACTGTATTGATATAATATTGGCCATTATTATCCAGTATTAATCTCCTTAAGTATGCAATATATTTGCCATTCTGTGACCATGGGCATTATTTGTCACTTCCATTGGGCATTACGTGTCTAAACAGATCCCAATAATGATGGCCTTTGTTTTTTCTTATTGTGGTAGACATTAATATGGTGTTGAAAGATATTGTAAGAAATGTCTTTATCAATTTTTGATATTGGAGTTCGGTGTCTCAGTTGTATTCAGCTGAATATTGGCATTTCAACCATTGGGGCGATGATGGAACCTACAAATTATCCTTCATAACTGGTCTGAAATGCATTGTTGATTGGAGAGGGAAAATTTGGTAGTCAAGTCATGGGTCAACTCTGTTCATGGCCACCCTATAGTGTCTCTTTGATCAGTGTATAAACTGCTTCCCTCTGACTGTGTTCACTGATGAACTTGATGTGTTCTTCACATCAAAATGAAGTCTGGGATATCTGGCTTTGGCAAAAAAGATGTCATGAGCTTGATTCTTCCTGTCAATGAGTGAGTACTCTGCACTTCTATATTTGTCTTTTTATGAAGAATTTGTATAGCCATCATTCTGAAATTACAGTGACTCAACAAAGTCATCAGCCTTCATGACTTCATATGTCTGTGGTCTTGTCATTTATTCATACAAACACTTGCCAACCTGTTCATGATTATGAAAATATGCTTTGAGTTACACCAGAGTTAAGCATTATGAGAATTTAGATCTCATGGAACCATCTTCTTGAAGTATCCACTGTTATCCAGAACTACAGATGAGCTTATTCCTAATTACGAACAGCACAATGCTGGATGTGTTTGAGATGCAGGAGCTATTCTATCACCAAGGAGCTGTATTGAGGAGTCTAACTGCATAAGTGCTCCCTGAAGACTGATGAAAGATGGTGCTGTACATCTGAGTGCTGCAGGGGGCATTTTGTTTGCTAATGAGAGTCTAGGGTAGCAAACTATTCATGCTCAACAGTAAACATTCCCAGGCAGCATGAAAGTGACGATTTCGTTCCCCAATCCCTCTGATAAGAAACATTATAGAAGTAATACTGTTACCTTGATTTACTTAAAGGAAAACAATTGGACTTATCGCCTCATAAAATTGAGAGGCAGAGGACAAAAATTCGCTAAATCAAAGATCAAAGCATTCCGTTTAGATTTGTATATCATGGTTAGAGATCCAGTTTGAGTAAGGTGGACTTCGTCTGTGGTGCCTGCAGAGTGGGCACTGTTGGATAACATGCTGGATGGTTTGGTCTTCGAAACCGCAGTCACGTCTGGGGATGCTCTTGATTTTCCGCCGATGTAAGAGTTGGACGCATCGGCCGTGCGGATGCGGTTGAGCGTGTTCCACTGCTTTTCTGGCAGGTCGAAGCCAGCCGAGTTCTGTGGAGTCAGAAACGAGCGGCTTTAACCCACGCGGCTCTCCACTGTTCCTCCAGGTCAAAGAAGGACGAGTCGAGAGCGTTAGCTCTGACGGCGGTTTCCGGGATTTTACCCGGGACCTCGACGGATTTTCTCGGTTCTCGTTCATTGGAAGGGTTGGCTCTTATTCGCCTGAAGACGCGTGATGCCTGAGCGTCTCTGCGGAAGTATGGAAGAACGTTGGCAACCATTCGACGGGAGCAGAATTTAGAGTCCCGGTAATGAGACCCATCGACGCGTTGAATTTGGCGTCCAAGCCCTGCAACCCTGTCCTGTGTGCGCACTGCAACTCGACAGTACACGGTATTCACAGATGCACAGTACTCCGCAGGCGAGAGAACCAGTGCGACGCCGTTCGAAGTGTGCGCGCCCCGGCACCACGAGGTTCCGGCCAGTTCGCGCACGGCGTTGGCTTTAGCCTTCAGTTTGTCTTGTGTCCTTTCGAGGTGGGGTCTGAAGGTGAGGCTGCGGTCCAGGGTAACGCCGAGACATTTCAGTGCGGTCTCATTATTTACTTGACGGCCGCAGAAGTCACGAAGAGTCTCTCTTGTGGCGCGCTCGTCGAGGTGGAATGCGTGACCGCCCATTTAGTCGGTTTTGGACGGAGTCCCCCTCTTTGGAATGGTGTCTTCTAGCGTCCATGTCAGTGGCGAGTTCGTCGCCGATGTGTTGCACCCTGCGAAGCGAGCGCAATGTCGTCGGCAGGGCCAGCCCTAGCATATTTCGGCGCCCTGTGCCAAGAGACTCCCAACGTCGTCCCCCCCCCCCGGAGGGAGAAGAGTTACTCCCTAACGTCCAAAGTGACGCCGAAACGATTGGCATTTCCACCTGAAGTAAAACTGATGGTGGCAGCAATTATTGCGCCCTACATTCAGTCGCGTTTCGACACCCATGTGAATTTGCGTCCTGTGCGGGGACACACGTGGCATATGCCTAAGGCCTGGTTCTCGGCGTAGATCGCTCGTGCAGAGGTTGAAGCTGGGTTGAAGATCGACGGAGCAAGGACAGAACCTTGCAGCAGCCCGTCATCGAGCCGAATCGCGCATCCTACGGCTGGAGATGCTTCGATGCCATGTCGATGCTTCGTCCACACGGTGTCGAAAGCGGAAGAAAGGTCGACCGGGGCAATCCCGGTTTTCGTTCCTGCTGGAAACCGGCTTCGATGTGGCTCGTGCGAGCCAGAACCCGGTCGCAGCGACTTCTTTCGCGGCCTGCTCTTTCTTCAAAGTTCCACCGACTTGTTCGTGGTAGAGCGGCGCCATCCAAGTCCTAATTATGCAGAGGAAATCCGAGACCGAGAGTGAACCTACCTCGTACCGATGGAGTCGCTGCATTCGATCGCTCACGACGCCGCGAACGAGAAAAAAAATCTGCCCGATGCGAACACCGAGAGTCGTTACTTCCCTCTTTCCGTTCGAGTTCGCTTCGACAAGGGGTCCCAAGGTCGGCATTCCTAAAGCCTCGCCGCGGGAAAACGGCGATCACTCGAAACATGCGGCAACCATCGTCCGGTGTTTTCATCTGCGCTTGGATCGACACGAGGCACGACAGAACGCGTGGAGCCCGACGAGCCGCCCTGGCCGACCTCCATCGCTCTCCTAGCCGACTCCTGCAGTTTAGTACCGCAATCACGGTTGCCAGAGCCAGAAGAGAACTCGGCGCCCCATCGGCAAGAGTTAGCCCAAAGAGTTGCCCTGTTTGTGTTGCTTCTTGCCACCTCTCTGCAGAATGTAAACTGCAGAGCCATCAGTTTTTGCCAGAAATGGTGTAGCCTGGATTTCGCCAATGGGGAGGGGCATGAATCCCCTCTTCGCTACGCCATTGTTGCCAGCCACTAGTAAAAGTGAAGGAGCAACACCTTGGACACTCAGCTGCCCCTCTGATAATGGAAAAACTGCTGGTGACAAGGTTTTTCCTTCCATTGACGGAGTAGTCATTTGTTATCGTTTTCTGGCGAAATACTCTCAGAAAACCCACTCAAAGTTCGATTGATCTCCCGTGACGTCATCAAGGGTCTCTGTCGGAGCTTGTACGTGCTCAGTTAATATCTGATTTGACGCAAACTCAAAAGAACAAGAGCGGCGGGAAAAGTCATGGGGGGTTATGGCATCACTGTTGGTTCCCACAGTGAGTATGGCGGGGTATGCCTTTCAGTGTAGCACGAGGGCAGCTTGGGAACTGCAGAGAAAAGGGTAGAGATAATTCATTTCACTTTTAGTCGTGCTGTGTTTAATGTGGGCCAGTCTTAATTCCAAGGGAAGAATCTCCCGAACATCCATAGGTTGGCAATAGGTGATACTGAAGACGGTGCGAGTNGGCAGCATGAAAGTGACGATTTCGTTCCCCAATCCCTCTGATAAGAAACATTATAGAAGTAATACTGTTACCTTGATTTACTTAAAGGAAAACAATTGGACTTATCGCCTCATAAAATTGAGAGGCAGAGGACAAAAATTCGCTAAATCAAAGATCAAAGCATTCCGTTTAGATTTGTATATCATGGTTAGAGATCCAGTTTGAGTAAGGTGGACTTCGTCTGTGGTGCCTGCAGAGTGGGCACTGTTGGATAACATGCTGGATGGTTTGGTCTTCGAAACCGCAGTCACGTCTGGGGATGCTCTTGATTTTCCGCCGATGTAAGAGTTGGACGCATCGGCCGTGCGGATGCGGTTGAGCGTGTTCCACTGCTTTTCTGGCAGGTCGAAGCCAGCCGAGTTCTGTGGAGTCAGAAACGAGCCCTTCGTTGGGGACGAGGGCTTTAACCCACGCGGCTCTCCACTGTTCCTCCAGGTCGAAGAAGGACGAGTCGAGAGCGTTAGCTCTGACGGCGGTTTCCGGGATTTTACCCGGGACCTCGACGGATTTTCTCGGTTCTCGTTCATTGGAAGAGTTGGCTCTTATTCGCCTGAAGACGCGTGATGCCTGAGCGTCTCTGCGGAAGTATGGAAGAACGTTGGCAACCGTTCGAGGGGAGCAGAATTTAGAGTCCCGGTAATCAGACCCATCGACGCGTTGAGTTTGGCGTCCAAGCCCTACAACCCTGCCCAGTGTGCGCACTGCAACTCGACAGTACACGGTATTCACAGATGCACAGTACTCCGCGGGCGAGAGAACCAGTGCGACGCCGTTCGAAGTGTGCGCGCCCCGGCACCACGAGGTTCCGGCCAGTTCGCGTTGGCTTTAGCCTTCAGTTTGTCTTGTGTCCTTTCGAGGTGGGGTCTGAAGGTGAGGCTGCGGTCCAGGGTAACGCCGAGACATTTCAGTGCGGTCTCATTATTTACTTGACGGCCGCAGAAGTCACGAAGAGTCTCTCTTTTGGCCCGGTCGTCGAGGTGGAATGCGTGACCGACCATTTAGTCAGTTTCGGGCGGAGTCTCAGGGTGGATTTCCGAACAGCGAACTATCCGATAATGCAGCTTCATTCCAGGAAAAATACATGATATTTCCTGGAAGTAAAGCAGCATTATCGGATAGTTCTCTGTTCAAATATCCACCCTCATTCTTTGGAACGGTGTCCTTTAGTGTCCATGTCACTGGCGAGGTTGTCACCGATGGCAGAGTGTTGCACCCTGCAAAACGAATGCAATGTCGTCGGCAGGGCCAACCCTAGCATATTTCGGCGCCCTGTGCCAAGAGACTCCCAACGCCCAAAGGGAGAGGAGTCAATCCTTAGCGTCCAAAATGATGCCAAATCGGAAGGGATTCAGTCGCCTTTTGACGCCCCCGGTGAATTTGCGTCGTTCTGTCCTTGCGGCAGCCCGTCGTCGAGCCGAATCGCGCATCTAACGGCTGCAGATGCTTCGAGGCCGTGTCGATGCTTCGTCCACACGGTGTCGAAAGCGGATGAAAGGTCGACCGGGGCAATCCCGGTTTTGTGTGAGTGAACCTACCTCGTACCGATGGAGTCGCCTGAATCGCTGCATTCGATCGCTCACGACGCCGCGAACGAGAAAAAAGTCTGCCCGATGCGACGGAAATCCCCGACGACGTTCGCTTCCCACTTTCTGCCTTCGACCGCGGCATTCAAAAGAACGCCGAGAGTCGTTACTTCCCTCTTTCCGTTCGAGTTTGGTTCGACAAGGGGCCCCAAGGTCGGAATTCCTAAAACCTCGCCGCGGGAAAACGGCGATTAGCGTCCGGTGTTTTCATCTGCGCTTTGATCGACACGAGGCACGACCGAACGCGTGGCGCCCGACGAGCCGCCCTGGCCGACCTCCATCGCTCCCCTCGCCGATTCCTGCAGTTTAGAACCGCAATCACGGTTGCCAGAGCCAGAAGAGAACTCGGCGCCCCATCGGCAAGGGTTCGCCCAAAGAGTTGCCCTGTACGTATTGCTTCTTGCCACCTCTCTGCAGAATGCAATCTGCAGAGCCATCAGTTTTTTGCCAGCAATGGTGTAGCCAGGATTTCGCCAATGGGCGGGGGGGCATGAACCCCCTCTTCGCTACGCCATTGTTGCCAGCCACTACTAAAAGTGAAGGAGCACCACCTTGGACACTCTGATAATGGAAAAACTGCTGGTGATAAGGTTTTCCTTCCATTGACGGAGTAGTCATTTGTTATCGTTTTCTGGCGAAATACTCGCAGAAAACCCACTCGCAGTTCGATTGATCTTCCGTGACGTCGTCAAGGGTCTCTGTCGGAGCTTGTACGTGCTCAGTTAATATCTGATTTGACGCAAACTCAAAAGAACAAGAGCGGCGGGAAAAGTCATGGGGGGTTATGGCATCACTGTTGGTTCCCACAGTGAGTATGGCGGGGTATGCCTTTCAGTGTAGCACGAGGGCAGCTTGGGAACTGCAGAGAAAAGGGTAGAGATAATTCATTTCACTTTTAGTCGTGCTGTGTTTAATGTGGGCCAGTCTTAATTCCAAGGGAAGAATCTCCCGAACATCCATAGGTTGGCAATAGGTGATACTGAAGACGGTCGCTCAACTTGCACATTTTTCAAATCAGTGAAACCCCTATCCATTACACCAAATCCTCTTTACGATAACGCACGCCAAATGTAAGGGGGAAACAACAGCTTTAACTTCGTTCCGTCGGTAGAACTGTTTCGATGTTAACAGCGAAAACTCCACTTGGTCTAGGCCTATTACCTAACACATGTAAGGGAGGTTGACCTTAGGTATACATGAAAAGGTCTGCATGTTTTAATAATTTCATGATTTTGTTCATCAAGGAATTGAGAAGTTGCTTCATGCCACAGTGCACAATTGCCTATGATTGTATACAAATGAGTAACTTGTAAGGGACCTGACCGTATAGATATGATGTAATTGTTGGAGTTCCCTTAGATTCCACAATCTTGCAGAGATGTTAGTCTGAGTGAGCCACACAAATTGAATCAAGACAGACAGTTCAAGAGGTAGAGAATGGAGGATAAAGGAAATGTCATAGGGGGCATTTGACTGTAGACCCGGGGCGAACTTGTATCAGCCTTGGTTCCTATAGCATTATAATTATAATAACTGCTGTTCCAGTGGCTTATTTCTCTTGATCACATTTGTACCTCAGGAACACTGAAACTTAAGTGAGGCACAAATCATAGAACTATTCTTTGATTGTGGTAAGGGTTCATTTCAGAAAATGAAGTGAGCAAAGTGAAGGAGAATACACTTCATGGCATAGCTAAAAGTCTTTGTCAATGTGTAAATGGCAATTTAATGTCTGAAGATGGTTAATTCCAGCTTATCCATGTCATTTGTATTTGAGGAATGATGACATCAAGTATTCTGGAACTTCTGAATGTTGTCAGTCAATGGTGTTCCTTGTTTGTTTCAGTATGAACAAGTAGTCTTGCTGTTAACAAGACTATGAAGGCCTTTAAGAAAGTAGTGGTTCATGTATACATTTTAGGCCTCTGTATGACCACCTGGTCATTGGAATATGAGTTCTCAATTAGAGGAAT